TCGCCGAATTTTTTTTTAAATAATTAGATGCGTCTGGGGGCGGCCCTGGGGCCCGCGACTGGGAACCAACTCGCCTCCAGGCCGTTTTTTTGCGCCGGTTCGCCCCCAGACGGTGATTTTACGCATCCACTGGGGGGCCAACGGCTGGAGATGCTCTAATAAGACAATGTACCCTCCAAGAAAACATTAACAGACGACGACACGACAATCAGCTAGCAAATCCAATAGGCTGTAGGCCCTGATCAATTTCCACACGGTGGACGAGCAGGGAACACCCCCCCGTGTGGATGAAATCAAAATGGTACGGCAACTATTGAGACCATCAATCATGCCCCTGCGGCACAAAGTGCACATGCCGCAAAAAAAAAAAAAAGATGCACATGCCCAAAACTGTAGCGAGTAGTAGTATATCAAATCAGAGTATAGGATAGGCAGAGCCAACTTTTAAGGATGCATGAAATCTTGTTTAAGAATTTCAGCACGTACGCACCGAACGCATCTTGGACCGTTCCCACAACACACACAGTTTCTTCCAAAAGGCGAGATGCCTACATCCTGCCAATCCCAGACTTGGCTTCGAATTGGCCATGTTTTGATGCAAACCAGACAGCGAGCTAGCAGCACTGTTCCGCTCTTATCCGAAAAAGACGCCCAAAAAGGAGGAAAAGGAAGTGAAGTACCACTCGTCAAGCCCTGCCAGTGGGACCGGGCAGGCAAGGGCGTTGACGTCTTGTCCACGTGGAGGGGGCCGGGCCCAATCGGGAGCGTGGGTTTCGTGGAACCGGTCCCTGCGCCCATTGACTCCCCTCCGGCTAACCTTCCTCGAACCTGGAGCGAAACGATTATTCAAAATTAAATCTCATTAAGAAAGAAGATTAGCTAGGCAGGCCATAAAGATCTCGAGAGGCGATTAAGAAAACGGGGGAGATCCGAGTCTGCTGTGCGTGTGGACTCGCGACCCCGTGCCGATCAATCAGGCAGGGCAGCCTCAGGATCGGCACCAGCTCGTTTCTGACTAGTACTATAGTTTTAGTCTAGACCTGACCTGCTCCGTACCGTTTTTCCATTTTGTTGGGGCGAGTAATTTTGACGAAAAACAGCATTGTGCTGATTTCATTCATTAAGATAGGATGAGACACCCCAAGAAATACAGGTCAAGGTTCAGGACGGCTGAAGGCCAGAAAGGGGAAGGAAAAGCTATACAAATGTACACTAGAAAAAGAAAGAAAGAAAGAAAGAAATTATCTCGCGCCTGTCCATTGTGCTCCTTTGAATCCAGCGATTCTCCAAGAATTCAGCTCATTGATAATGTTCTCAGCGACCTTCAGGAAGTGGTTTGCCTTGTTGTTGAATATGCGGCTGTTTCTTTCTTTCCAAACCTGCCAGGACACCGTCATTATAAGTGATGATAAGTCCTTTTTCCTGCCTGTACGATCCAGAGCCTTTAACCACCAGTCCAATATAGAGCCAGTATGAGCAATAGGTAAGAGGTTGAATGGAAAATTATATATCGCCAGGCAATAGCCCCAAATACCAGCCGTGAAGGGGCAGCTAGATACAAGGTGCAGACCATCCTCCCACCCTAAGTGGCATAATTGACAGATCGGGTTGTGAGGCCAACCTCGCTTCGCAAGGTTGTCCGCAGTCAAACATTTGCCCTGTACAAAGAGCCAACTGAAGAATCTTATTCTTGGTGGAACCTTGATATGCCAAATGATCTCAGGAAGAGGAGAATCAATCTTGCCCCAGAATTGACATAGGTAAGCTGACTTAGCATTATATCTTCCATCCGCTGACCATTTCCAAATGAACTCATCCTCCAGGTTGGAGAAAGTGACCACACTGGATCTGTGCCAGAAGTCAATGTATTCGCGCAACACCTCGGTGCCCGGGTTGCGCTTGAGAAGAGTGACCCATTTTCTATTGGTGAGTCCTTCAGCCAACGATATTCTTCTGTTTTTGCTATGCTTGAAAAGGTTAGGAAACGAAACAGCTGGAATCTCACCGTTGAGCCAGTGATCGTGCCAAAAGGATATCTTAATACCACTACCAATTTTGATGGAGGTACAAGCAATGAAAAGAGCCTTAACGTGCTTGTCAACAGGGAGCTGCAGACCTTGCCATGGTTTATCCGGATCTGTGATGCTTTGCCAAAGCCAGCGTACTTTAAGCGCCCGCCCCTGAGCTTGAAGGTCATGGATGCCAAGCCCGCCTACAGAGATGGGTGAGCACACCTGGGTCCAGCGGACAAGGCACTTGCCACCGCAGACAGCATCAGAGCCAGACCATAAAAAAGCACGACGTAGCTTATCGATTTGCTTGATGACCCATTTCGGTTGATGAACAGCCAGAAGCATGAAAATTGGCATTGCCGAAAGTACAAACCTCACGAGTACCATTCTTCCAGTGGAGGAGATCCACCTAGCCTTCCAACCCGCAATCTTCTTAATTAACTTGTCAAGCAGGTCTTGGAAGTCAATGAGCTTCAACCGCCTATCAGATAGAGGCATCCCAAGGTAAGTGCAGGGGAAGCTAGCCAACTGGCATCCAAGAGCCAGCTGCAGGGGAGTAAGGTCAAGGCCGTCACACCGAATAGGAAGGATCTTGCTTTTAGCCAGGTTAGTGATGAGACCGGTTGCTTCACCAAAAAGCTTCAGCACTTCAGTTACAACCCCAAAATCATGCATCTCAGGCTTGAGGAAAATGATGACATCGTCTGCGTAAATAGATGCACGGTGTTTAACAAGTTGGTTACCCAGAGGGGATAGGATGTTGTTCCTTTGTGCTTTGTCCATCAACCTTCCAAGGCAGTCCACCACAAGCACAAAGAGCAGCAGGGAGAGGGGATCTCCTTGCCTGAGGCCCTTACGATGGAGGATTTGTTGAGTGCATTTGGAGTTGACTAATATTCTTGTGGAAGCAGAGAAAAAGAGGGCCGATATCCATCCTCTCCACTTCGGCCCAAAACCCAGACCTTGCAGTAGCTTAAGCAGAAACTCCCATGAAACTGAATCAAAGGCTTTGGTTATATCCAACTTAAGCATAACAGAGGGGATTTTTTTCTGTCTTAGGGTCTTAGCCATTGCCTGAACATAGACAAAATTATCATGTATGCTTCGCCCTTTAATGAATGCATTCTGACATGGGGAGGTTAGCTTGTTCATCCATGGTTGTAGTCTGGCAGCCATCATCTTGGCAATTAATTTTGCGAAGAAGTGGATTAGGCTAATGGGCCTAAAATCTTGAGGCCTAACAGCACCCTGGTGCTTTGGAAGCAACGCAATAACAGCACTATTAAGCAGAAATAAGTTTTGCGTGTTCAGCCCTTGGAAGTGTCTCAAAGCAGCAATCAAGTCATATTTGACAGTATCCCAACAGGTGCGAAAGAAGAGGCCAGTGTAACCATCAGGACCAGGGGCCTTCTCTGGGTGCATATCAAAAATAGCCTTTTTGATTTCCTCCTCCGAAAATGCAAGGTCAAGGGAAGCTAGATCACAGGTAGGGAGGTCAAGAGCTTCGAGGTTTAAAGAAGAGTTCCTGGGTTGATAAGTGCCAAGAAGATCATTAAAATGTTGCCAGATATGCTCCTCTTTGTTTTGCTGGTCAGTATATTCGGTGTCTTGAACTAAGATAGAAGTAATGAAATTTTTCCTTCTTCTAGCAGTGGCCTTCAAGTGAAAAAACCGAGAGTTGCAGTCTCCCTCCTTGAGCCTGAGAAATCTGGAACGTTGACGCAACATACATCTGTCCAAGGCAGCAAAGCCGAGGCTCATCATCTTTAACTTGCCTCTGAAAGTGTGCTCTTCGGGGGTGAGCATCCTGTTATCTCTAGCAATATCCAGCTGTAAGATAAGTTCGTGGACAATTCTGGTCCTTAACTGAATATCACTTAGCAGAGAGGAAGCCCAAGACTTGAGCTTCTTGGCAGTGAAGGACAATTTGTTATGCAAATTGGTGTACGGATTGCTCGACTTAGTAGCCCTATCCCAAGCTGCAGTAACAACTTCATTGAACCCCTCTAGCCGTACCCACATATTTTCAAACATGAATCTTCTCTGTGGCTTGAACAGAGCATTACTTGAAAGCAGGAGTGGACAATGATCTGAATCAGCGGAGGAAAGGCCTTGTAACAGAGCATTGGGGAAAAGTTCATTCCAAGGTTGATTATAAAGAACCCTGTCGAGCCTGACCAGGATAGTGTGCAGTTGCTCATTGCTCCAAGTATATCTCCTACCATGCAAATACATGTCCTTGAGCTCCAACCGGTTCATAAAGTTTCTGAATGCATTGATCAACCCTCTATTGATATTACCGTGGAAAAACTCCATTCCTCGTGCAGTACGTGCTGACCTCAATATTCTTTCTCAATAGCAAAAGAGAATTGCTCAACAAACCAAAGAGAAGAGGCCCCATATTTGTGCACAACAAACCCATACACATAGTAGTTTTTTTTTTTTTTGCAGGAATATACAAATGGCGAGTCATCGATCGATCGGCGGTGAGATCTGGCGCCACGCAGGTTTGATAGACCATACTATACTAGCCCTAGTAGCTAGCAGCTGGCCTGGTAGCAAATGTTGGTTAAAACGCTACCCCTAGTAAACATTTTCCGTCTTGCGAAAATATGCGTGTTACTTATAGGAGCCGGCGACGGCGGCCCGCGGTATCAACAACGCGATGTTGAAAATCGTTGGACCGACAGGCGAAGTCGCCATTGCAGACCGGAAAAAGGAGCGCTTTGCGTTGCACGGGGCACGTCCCTGTCGCCCCGCCCATAAATTTCACGAGCCGGGCTTCTGATCCGTGGAGAAAAGTTGCAAGCCGGGGAGGAAAAGCGCAGACAAGCACGAAAATAACATGGAGCCAAAGCCCAGCCAGCTGCCGTCCGTCTCCGCCTCGCCGGAAAGGGCGATCCGGTCCTCGTGGGCCCGGGATCGGGTCGTCGTCCCTCCCGCCACTCCTGCCGCGCCACGTGGGCCCCCGCACTGACGCAGCGCCTGATGTCAGATCTGGGCCTCCCAGCCAGCTCGCCCTTTTTTATACGCGCCCCGTCCTACCGGGGAGAGACTTCAGACTCCTCCCTCTTTCGGTCTCTACGACACGTTTCTTTCTCTCTCCCTCTCCCCTCGGCTACCAAGGCGTCTCTCTCTTCTCCAAGGAGGCTCTCGATTTGCATGGACAAGGGCCACCTCGGTGGTGGCGGAGGAGGAGGAGGACTGCTAGCCCTGGACGCCTCGCCGCGGCAGCTCGGCTTCTTGAACTTGCTGTCGCCGGCGCCGTTCCATAGGAGCATGGAGGCGGACGACGGCGGAGGCGGTGGCGGCGGCGGCAGGGGGAGGAGGTCCATCGAGGTTGACTTCTTCTCCGACGAGAAGAAGAACATGAAGAAGAGCCGGGCTTCGGCCGGGGCCGACGCGGAGGACCACAAGGATCAAGCCTCCGCCGCCGGACTCGCCATCAAGAAGGAGGACCTCACCATTAACGTACGTCCGTCACCGCTTCTTCACCCATTCTTCTTCCTTGTTAAATGGCAAGACTTGGCAGCCGGCACTGCTTGTTTTTCTATATATATATATATATGTACGGCGATCTAATACTTACCTTTCGATCCTGCAGCTCCTTCCCGGGAACAACACGAGGAGCGACCGGTCCATGGTGGTCGACGACGACGGAGCGTCCCGGGCCGACCAAGACAGGAACGGCAGGAACACCGGCGAGGTACGTAGTTATCCATGATCTGTCCATACAATCTCGATCTCGTCGATTAGCGTTGTCGACGGCGAACATGGTGGATCTGGCCGGTGGTGTTTGACTCGATCGGTATTAACTTACGCGTGTCGCGTCCTGCAGCTGGCGGTGATACAGGCCGAGCTGAGCCGCATGAACGAGGAGAACCAGCGGCTGCGAGGGATGTTGACCCAGGTCAACAACAGCTACCATGCGCTGCAGATGCATCTCGTCGCGCTCATGCAGCAAAGGACCCAGATGCCTCCGGTCCAGCCGCAACAACCTCCGACCCACGAGGTACTATTCTTACTCCTCTAACCTAGCTAGGGATCACTAGTTGACTTGGCCAAGAAATTTACTCAATCAATTCCTCTTTTTCCGTTTTTATTAGGATGGCAAGAACGAGAGTGCCATCGTGCCGAGGCAGTTCCTGGGTCTGGGCCCGTCGGGAGCCAGCGCTGACGTGGCGGAAGAGCCCTCCAACTCGTCCACGGAGGTCGGGAGCCCGCGGCGGTCGTCGTCCAACGGAAACGAGGACCCTGAGCGCGGCGAAAACCCTGACGGCCCGTCCACCGCGGGGTGGTTGCCCGGACGCGGGATGAGCCAGCAGCAGCAGCAGCAGCTGGGGGCGGCGGCGAAGGGCCACGACCAGCAAGCGCAGGAGGCCACCATGAGGAAGGCCCGTGTCTCCGTTCGCGCCCGATCCGAAGCCCCGATTGTGAGCCTGCTTCTTGTTCTTCTTGATCATTTCCTAGTTTTTGCACTTGCAATCTTGACTAGTCCTTGTGTATGAATCGTTCTGACCTTACCGTACGTGCATGGGTGCAGATCGCCGATGGATGCCAATGGAGGAAGTACGGTCAGAAGATGGCCAAGGGAAACCCTTGCCCACGCGCCTACTACCGGTGCACCATGGCCACCGGCTGCCCGGTGCGCAAGCAGGTACTCCTAAGTCCTAACTAACTAGCCACGACTGGCTCGCTTCTTGGTCAAAGGTGTACGTCCGGAAGTAGCGTATCGGGGACGGGGTGTATGATTGGTCTAACTTTTTTCTTTATGCGTGATGCCATTGACTAACAGGTGCAACGATGCGCCGAGGACCGGACCATCCTCATCACCACGTACGAGGGCACGCACAACCACCCGCTCCCGCCGGCCGCCATGGCCATGGCGTCTACCACGTCGGCCGCTGCGTCCATGCTGCTCTCCGGCTCCATGCCCAGCGCCGACGGCGCGGGGCTCATGAGCTCCAACTTCCTCGCGCGCACCGTGCTTCCGTGCTCGTCCAGCATGGCCACCATCTCGGCGTCCGCGCCGTTCCCGACGGTCACGCTCGACCTCACCCACGCCCCGCCCGGGGCGCCCAACGCCATGCCGCTAAACGTCGCCCGACCGCATGCACCGGGGCAGTTCCATGTTCCGATGCCCGGCGGTGGGATGGCCCCGGCCTTCGCGATGCCGCCGCACATGCTGTACAACCAGTCCAAGTTCTCTGGGCTGCAGATGTCCTCCGACTCGGTGGACGCCGGGCAGTTCGCGCAGCCTAGGCCGCCGATGGGCCTGCCAGGCCAGCTGTCAGACACCGTCAGCGCAGCGGCGGCTGCGATCACCGCGGACCCGAACTTCACCGTGGCGCTCGCGGCGGCCATCTCGTCGATCATGGCCGGCCAGCACGCCGCCGGCAACAGCAACGCGAACAACAGCAATAATAACACCAGTAACAACAACGTGACGACGACCAGTAACAACACGACGAGCAACAACACCAACAGCGAGACTCAATGAACGGCTTCGTCAAGTTCGGAAAGAGTTGAGAAACCAGATAGCTAGGTTGCAAGTTATACACGGATGGTGTTCCATTCTTCTTTGGTCAGGATTAGCTTCTCGAGACGTTTCTTTGGTTTTGATACCAAGCATTATATACGATCACCCTTTTTCTTTCGTGATTTTGCGGCGGCAAAAAAACAAAGTTGTATTAGTTCATTCCTTCCCCTTAGTTCTTTTTCATCGCCCGCAGCTGTTGATATTTCACTGTAATAATTATAACTACAGTAATAAGTAAAATAATGGCGCCTCAGAGATATATCTATGCTAGTCAAAGCAGAAGAAATGTGGGGGTAAAGAACAAGGACAGCCTACCGGATGCTCATCTACGTGTTTGTTCACATCTTGACATTTTTTCCCACCCCCTCTCCCCTTTCCGGCTCTCTTGTCTTGGCTTGTTTTACCTTCTTCTCGTTGGCATTTTCATACAAGTCGCTGCCCAGCCGGCTCGCTCGGATGTGAATGTGATCTCGTCATCGGTCCCGCGTAGACCAAGTCAGCAGGCCGGGGCCCGCCACGTAACACGCCTGCTGTACTGTTGGTCAGTTCGTCCCCATTTGAATAGTACATCACATGCTTAATGCCTGCAACGTTGCACGTACCTAAACTTTTTAGTTTGAATGAAGTTTGAACATGTACGGGAAGCTCTGCATGGGGAGCACTCCAAGGACTCGCAGTCTCAGTTAAGCTGGTGTGGGTTTGCCTGCCTGGCGCGTAGCTGGGCGTCGTGGGCATGGGCGCAGCGCAGGGAGGGAAACTCATGCCGCGACGCGAGGCGGCACGGGGAAAATGTGGCACCCGGAAGGGGAGAAATCATGGGGACCCTCGGCGTGGATCTGGCACGGCACGGAGCTTTGGTGTCTCGTCGTCGTCGGCGTCGCGTCGTCTGTGGACTTGGAGGCATGGGGCGTTTTCAAGTGGGGCCCGCGGCGGTATCGGTATCGGGGGAGGCGATTACGTACGGGACAGTTGGAGGTGTTGACCTGGTCCCCATACGCAGCACGTAAACGGGTGGGGTCTCGCGCGCAGCTGTGGCCTCGTCTTGCTGCCGCCTGCCGTCTCTGGGACGGTCACCACCGTCCACCGGCTTCGGCTTTGGCTTTGCTTGCTCGCGCGCTTGCGGTCGGACTTTACGGCGGGGTCTACGAGATTTTTCGCCAAAATACGAGATGTGCACGAGGGGCCCTTATAACTCTGAGGCGTCTTTCGCGCGAGTCGTGGAGAGGAAGTCTCCGAGGTAGCTTGGTTTGGATATTCTACGTGCTTTCACGAGAAGGCATTCGCATGTACATTATTTTTTCGGGTAATCATGGAATATTATTCCATATCAACAGGCTGCTAATACAATATCATGAATGAATGGGGCCCTCCTTGTAACCAACAAATAGTGTTGTGAGCCGTGCAAACATAATTGAGACAATGTTTCTGCTGAGTAAATATACAATTTTTCATGATTATGGCATTGACAATTAACGACATACTGATTACGATCTAAACAAGCACGTTGTACGCAAAAAGTAGACATGTCTATACATAATGCTAGTACGGATAACACAGAAATAAACAGGAGCGAGATAAAATGAGTTATATCCTCCGGTAGGCCAGGCAGAAGCCGCGACGGCGGCGGTAGCACCAGCGGCGTCCTCGGCGGCCTTCTTGTCGGTTTCAAGTTTTTCGGCGTCGGTGGACATGGTAACAATGCAGCGGACGTGGACGTAGAGGAAGTAGTTGATCGGAGGCGAGCTGTCGCGTAGCCGCTCCCCAAAAACCTAATCGCCCCTCTCATGTACGGGATCCGGAGAGGCGGGGTTTCGGAGGCTTGCTCTCCCGTCAACCATGTACGCGCTGAACGGGATGGAGTCGCCGGCGGTTGTGATAACCCACAAGTATAGGAGATCGTAACAGTTTTGAGGGGTAGAGTATTCAACCCAAATTTATAGATTGGACGCAAGGGGAGCCAAAGAATATTTGCAAGTATTAGCAGTTGAGTTGTTCATTCAACCATAACTGGAGATTAAATATCTGTAGCAAAGTGATCAGTAGCACGGTAATATGATAATTTGATAGCAGTAGTAACAGTAGCAATAGTTGGAACAGTAACAATAGCAATAGTAACTTAGCAAAAACAATATGTGGACAACTCGTAGGCATTGATCGGTGAATTCGTTGGATGATATTCATCATATAATAGTCATAACTTAGGACAGAACTAGCTCCAGTTCATAAATATAATATAGGCATGTATTTCGTAAATAGTCATACGTGCTTATGGAGAAGAACTTGCATGACATCTTTTGTCCTACCTTCCCGTGGCAGCGGGGTCCATAAGGAAACTAAGGGATATTGATGTCTCCTTTTAATAGAGAACCGGAACAAAACATTAGCACATAATGAATACATGAAATCCTTAAACTACGGCCATCACCGGAAAGTATCCCAATTACTGTCACATTGGGTTTATGGATCGTAACACATAGCAGGTGCATATGCTTAGGAAGATCGGATCAAGAACATAGATATAATGGTCAAAATATAAATGGTTCAGATCTGAAATCATGGCAGTCAGGCCCTAGTGACAAGCATTAAGCATGGCAAAGTCATAGCAACATCAATCTCAGAACATAGTGAATATTAGGGATCAAGCCCTAACAAAACTAACTCGATTACATGATGAATCTCATCCAACTCCTCACCGACCTGCGAGCCTACAAAGAAACTACTCAGACCCGGTGGGGAGCATAATGGAATTGCTGATGAAGGAGGGTTGGTGATGACGAAGACCGAAGATTTCCCTCTCCGGAGCCCGGAGCGGACTCCAGATCTGGCCTCCCGATGAGGAACAGGAGGTAGCGGCAGCTCCGTATCTTGAAACGCGATGAAACTTCCTCTCCTATTTTTTTCTCCAAAAATAGGATTTTATAGAGTTGGAATTAGGGTCAGCGGAGCCCCGAGGGCCCCACCACCCACCAACGCGCACTTGGGGGGTGGCACGCCCTGGTATCTCGCGGGCAGCCAGGACTCGCCCTCCGGTGGTTCTGGGTTCCAGTATTTTTTATTTATTCTGAAATAAATCTCCAAAAAAGTTTCGTCCAATTCTGAGAACTTTTGTTTCTGCACAAAAACAACATCATGGTAGTTCTGCTGAAAACAACGTCAGTCCAGGTTAGTTTCATTCAATCATGCAAATTAGAGTCCAAAACAAGAGCAAAAGCGTTAGAAAAAGTAGATACGACGGAGACGCATCTACTCCCTCAAGCTTAACCCATTGCTTGTCCAAGCAATTCAGTTGACAAACTGAAAGTGTGAAAGAAAAACTTCTACGAACTTTTTGTTGGGAAACATAGCATGCAATTTCAAAAAAATTCCTACGCTCACACAAGATCTATCTAAGAGGTGTATAGCAACAAGGGGGAGAGCGTGTCTACGTACCCTCATAGACCGTAAGAGGAAGCATTTCACAACATGGTTGATGTAGTCAAACTTTCTTCACGATCCACCGATCGAGTACCAAACGTATGACACCTCCGAGTTCTGCACACGTTCAGCTCGGTGACGTCCCTTACCTTCTTGATCCAGAAAGTCGTCGAGGTTGTAGATGAGTTCCGTCAGCACGACAACGTGATGACGGTGATGGTGAAGTGACCTTGCATGGCTTCGCCTAAACACTACGAAAATATGACCGAGGGTGTAAATGGTGGAGGGGGCGCCACACACGGCTAACAATTCATCTTGTGTGCGCTAGGCGCCCCCCTCCTCATATATATAGGTGGAAGGAAGAGGGAAGAGGCCAAGGGGCGCCTTAAGTGGGGCCGAATCCCACTTGGGCTCCTGCCCTGGTTCGCCCCCCTTCCATGTATAGGCGCCAGGAGAAGGAAGGCGGAGGTGCCCCCCCTTCCTTTCTCCCTTGAGGAGGGGAAGGAAGGAGGGACTTTCCCTCCCCCCCCTTTCCTTTCCCTAGGGCTGGCCGGCCTGGTGGAGGGGCGCACCAGCCCCTTGTGGGCTGGTCTGTCCCTCCCTTGGCCCATTAAGCCCATATCTTTGCCGGGAGGGGGAGGGGGGG